TTCTCGGAACAGATAATGTCCGCGGACAAATATCCAAGCATATTTTCGCGCCAAAAGGAGGTTACCGTTTATATATTTGTGGGACAAAGTTCTCGATGATGTTTGTATGTCCAGAGCAAGTGAAGAATAAATCGGCCCTGCAAGCGTTTCTCGATCGTTTGGCAATATCACCACGGAAGGTGGAGGCTAGGTGTATCGCGTCACCTATTTCCGAAAATAGTATTTTTCATTTGGTAAAGCAGTCATTGCGGAAGTAGTTGCATGTAATATACTATAGTTGGCTAGAAGCAGGATTTCCCAAGTCAAAATTTAGAATGGTCTTCGACTGTTTTGGCAGTCTTGTTGGGAAAGTACAAATAACCAAGCTGCTATATATTAATGCTCCGCTGTTGAACTTCATCTCTTGACCAAGAAACATTGATTTCAATAAGAAGAGGACGCACACTGTAAAAAGGCCAGAGTTAATTTAGAACTGACCCATTCTTAATGTTGTACTTTCGTTTTCAGATAATCGTATAAAAGCATAACAGCTACCATAATTACTCTCGTGTGGAAACGCACGTAATTCTAGGCCATATTGCACGACAGAACCCTGATTTTAATGTGCACACACGCAGTGCACTTGCTAAAACTAACCCCTGTAATCAGCAAATACATGTACGCAACTTTGCAACGCACCAGTTCAAGATATATTTGAACGTTTATAGTGAGAGGCACGAATAAACTTAGCTTGCTAGTAAGCTCTCTTTGGAAGGTTTATTATGCTCTGGTGGTTTACGCAAATTTTCTGTGCCGCTTTACGGGTACTTTCACATTTATCTGGCGGTTTACGTATAAGAGATAATAGAGAGATTAAGCATGACGTTACGTCAAACGGAAAACGTGAGCTGTCTATACAGTAGAGTGAAAATATCTGTATTTGCGGTGAATAGGAGAAATTTTTCAATTTTTGTGTGATTTAGTTAAGGATTAGCAGAAAAGAACACAAATTTAGAGGTATTCTTTCCCGTTTGCCGTCTGCTGTAAACGTCATGCTTTTTAAAATATATATTCTTGTTTTACCCAAGTCCCGCCACCACTGCTTCAGTCTGTTTTCCCGACGGTTAAATTAAAATTGACATGGTTTTTTCTCATACATTTTGTCAAAAATCCTTTTAAGAAGAATCCATAATAGTTTCCATAATCTAGGCTATTTTGTTTTCAACAATGTCAGAGAGGAATGAAATTATACAGACCGCCATCACTGTAGGCGATTTCCGCGTTTCCTCTTGCCTCAAACGAGTCTTCCTGTTTTCCAGTCAAACGAAAATGCGTTTGATTTACCCATAAGTCTGAACATGTAAGTGAAAGATAGTTTCTTAAACGAAGTTCCGCACGAGGACTCGTTTTGGCACAAAGGTGAGGGCAATTCGGAAATGACTCACTGTTGTGTAAAGATGGATAAAAGTTAATAATAGCTGAGGTCCTACAGCAAAAACAAGTTTTCAGTTGTGCGTTTTAAACCGACCCATTCCGTACGGCCTCGTTCTGTACCTTTCCACCCATCGTCGCTTTCTTCTTTTTCAAAGCCTTCTGCAAGTGACTCATATCGGCAAACAGGTTTCTTCCGAGGACAGCCGAGGCAGTGATCATACCACTGAACATTGCTCCGGCGAACCCGCAGCTAAGGATATCTTGCCCGGTGAGATAGAGCCCGGGGATGGACGTTTCCGGTCGGAGCTTTACAGCAGCCTGGGGACTGAACCGGTCCACGTGATGGTCAATCCCGTAGATCTCCCCTCGGGGCGCCGCGATGTAGTACTTGTTACTCAGCGGGCTGCCGACATCGAAGAAATCGACGCGGTCACGCACCTGAGGGAAGAACTTGCAGGTCTGTTCCCAGATGCGCTTACCGATACGGTTTTTGATCTCCTCGTACTCCTCGCCTCGCTTCATAACCCGCTCGTTCTCCCAGCGTTCAAACCACTCATACGGGGATAAGGTAATGATCGTACAAGTCGTCTTGCCCGGGTAGCGAGTCTCCCACTCGGGGTCCTTGGTGGATGGGAAGGAAATGAACAACAACGGGATGTCTTTAGTGCCGGCGGTATCGGCTCCTAATTGAAGGAACTCCCTGGTGATTTTATCGAGGTCGTTGCCGGTGAAGGCCCATAAATTGGAGGCTTTGAGTCCGAACTCTTCTTTGGTTCCCTTGAGGCCCACGTAGACTGACATTGCTCCAAAGCCATGACGAACAGCTTTGGTTTTCAACAGGGCCTTCTCCGGTATGGCTTCATTTTCAAGCAAGAGCTTCTCAAAAGTGTTGTAGATGCCTGCAGCTGATATCACTACCGGGGCATGAACATCCACCTCACTGCCGCCCTTCTCAACCCGAACCCCTGAAAATAGCAGAAGAAGTGGTCAAAAACTAATTCCTAAGTTCTACTCTTTCACTACCGTCAATCAAATTCAGTGCTAAACCAACCACATGTACAATGCTCTGTGCTTTTGCGATGGTTGAATTTGGATCCTAACCCCCCACCCCCCCCCCCCCAACTCAACTCCGAAACAAGAAAGACCAAAAGGTACAACGTTGGTTTTTCTTTCTTTCTTTCTTTTTTTCCCCTTCTATTGGGGTGGGGGTTAGGGGATGGGGGAATGACTTGCCTTTGACTTGACCTTGCATCAAAATCCCTAGGGGGTAATGGGTCGGGCAGGAGGGTGAAGTAAGGAAATATTATAGGATACATAAGTGAGGCTCTGTTGTTGAAAGGCTGGACTATGCTGTCCACTGGATAGCTATATCCAGCCCTTCACAGAGCATATTACAAAGAGAGGATGAAGAGTATAAGAAAGCTGATCCCCTGATGGGCCTGATACCCAAGGTTTTTTTTAGAGATGGTGCCCAGTTCTTACCATGAGCATTGCTTGGATATTGCTTGTTTTCGTGCATGATGAAAATGTGTATAAAGTTGCTTTGCCTCTTGAGGTCAGCAAAATTCACATCACAGGATTGGGTAATTCAAGACCCTCCTGGGATTTCCAAAACTAGCCTGAGTGATGGCAAAATATGTTTTAATTAAAAGTATAACTGAAAAAAAAAATCTTTGGGGGGATTACCCTGGGAATAAGGCCATTATGTGCTTTCATCTTCTCTTGATTTTTCTTATTAGAAAGTGACAAATAAATATAAAAAGACGTTTTACTACTGCATCTTACCTTTAACTTTACCAGAGTTTTCATCAACAAGAATCTTGGAGACTGGTGCTCTTACTAGCACCTTTCCGCCTGCTTTCTCAATAACAGGGATGATATGGAAAGCAATCTCGCTGGCTCCACCACGTGGATATGATGCTCCAAATAAGTAGTGGTTAGCAAGTATAGCATGCATGGCAAAGCTACCTTCTCCAGGCATAGTTCCTACAGAGGACAAGAAAACAGTAAAGATATAGAACTTTCCCAGATTTATGAAATTGTATGATGAGAGTATGTAGAAACTGGTCCACAATGAAAGAGGAATTCTGATTGGTCTTCTTTGCAGTTAAAATTAATTTGGCCTGTGCAGTGTAACATTGTGTACACTATTTTTCCTCCTAAAAACAATGTTTGCAAGTACACCATCTTTACCAAATGTAGGACAGTGGCTGACAATTTGGGTT